TGTGTCTCCTCTCCCTTTCTCCTTCTCTGTGTCTGTCTCTGTCTCTGGGTCTATCTCTCTCCTTGTATCTGTCTGTGTATGTGTCTCTCTTCCCTTTCTCCTTCTCTTTCTGTCTCTTTCTCTCTGTGTCTCTCTTCCCTTTCTCCTTCCGTCTCTCTCTCTCTTTTTCTCTGTCTCCCCTCCCCATCTCCCTCAGTGTGTGTGTCTGTCTCCCTCTCTCTCTTCCTTTCACCCTGTATTTTTTAACAAGCATTTACTTGACACCTATTATGTACCTTGGAGTCCATCTACTCCGACCCACTCACTTTATCGATGAAGAAGCCAGGCCCCACAGAGGGGAAGTGCTCAGCCAAAGATTATATGCAGAATTGACTTCAAAAGAAGTTTCGAACCCAGGCCTTCTGGTTGTTCCCATTATGGACAGCTCTAATTGCTTGGAAGATTTTCCTTAAGTAGCATGTTTGGGGGATGCCAAGGAGATATGGCCACTGGACTCCTGCTGGCCAAGATGGAAATCCTCCAGGGTTCCTCTCTTCTACCTTTAGGATGTTGGCTGGTAGAACTCTGACAAACCAGTCCTTCCCACTACAGGCTGAGGGGGTGGGGGTGGGAGTCCAAACAGCCAAAGCTTTACAAAAGGAAACGCTAGGACTTCAAGGAGCCCTCCAGGAAACAGTGGAGAGGGAATATCAGCCTTGAGAACCTCAGCACTGGAACCCCAAGGCAGGGACAGCACTATTGTGCTCGGAGCCAGAGGCACAGAGCAGGTGTGGAGGCTGCCAAAGCTGCTGAGGCCAAGGATGGCAATTCTTCACACCCCTCCTTTCACCCTGATTCTCCTCATGTGAACATGTATCTATCTGTCACTTTGTTTCTGAAAAGTCTGCTTGCTTCCTGTTTCCCATTTGTTTTAAAATCTGGTTTTCTAAGAGAAATGTAATCTCTGTTTCATTATTCAAATGCAACGTAAAAAGGGTAACAAGAGAGGGAAGAGGCAGGGATGGCATGGGACAGAGACAAAGACAGAGAAAGAGCCAAAGAGAGGAGGTGACAGAGAAAGAGAGCAAGTGAGACAGAAAGAGGCAGAAAAAGGCAGAAACAGAGAAAGACAGCTGGCGTGGGGGTGGGGTGGGAGGAGGAAGAGTTAGGGAGAGATTTCACAACTGCAATATATATTCGGGGCAGCTAGGTGGCACAGTGGATGCAGCGTTGGCCCTTGGAGTCAGGAAGATCTGAATTCAAATCCATCCTCAGACACATAACACTTACTAGCTATGTGACTCTGGGCAAGTCACTGTAAGTAGTTGGGTGTGAAGAGGCTGTGAGTGGTGATGTCTTCCCTCTCCATTGTCTTCGAGCACAGGGAAGGCTGGGGCCAGTGAGAGGGAGGGAGCCACCCCACTGACTCTGCTAAGTGCTCCCAAGCCTCTCCTTTCCCCCCTTCAGCTTCCGGCCACTGTTCTCAGCCTGCCCCTCTGGGGCCAAACAGAACAAGCACATCTCTCTTCCACGGGACAGTCCGTCAAACACTTCATGAGACAAAGGAAGTGGGCCAACGGCCTGGGCTGACGTGGGGCCCTGCTGGGGGGAAACATCCCCACCCTTTTCAAAGGAAGAGGGACAGTCGTGGGAATCTCTCCCACACCTGAAATGTTCCTTTACACCTCTTCCCTCTTAAACAAGCCAACACCCAACACCCAACCTCCATCTACTTTTACACTGCCCTGCTTTCTGTCAGCAGGAGAAAGGGGGTGGGGGAGGGGGGTCTTCACTTGGCCCCTCCCACCCAAGCACAGAGAGGTCCTGGCAGTTGATACAAGTTGTCTACTGGACTAACATGGTATTCCCCACTCCTCCACTCCAGACACTCCGGGAGCCCTGTTAGCTTCCCAAAAGTCCCAATAGCATTCCAGTCGGGCTTCCCACAGAATACAGAGGCCATTCAATGGGCTACCCCCGTATCACCCAGTGAACACAGATGTGGTGTGAACAGGAAAGGAAGGGAAGGAATCACTTCGCCCACAGCATCCGGGCCTAGAGCCTTCCATGAAATGACACCCCAGGAGCTGGCCCGGCCTCCTGCCTAGTCCCTTTCACTCCGTCCCTACGTGCTCTGGTATTCCCATTTCCACAGCTCCCAAACACGCTCCCCCTGCACTTAGGACACACTGGGGCTCCCAAGAAGCTCGGTGAAAGCCCATGAGCGGAGCAGTGTGGCAGAAGCCTGGGGTCCAAACCTTCCGGGGGCCCTGCCACTTCCTCATTCCACCCTCAGACTCCACGAAGGACACACTGGCAGCTCCAGAAGGGCACCTCCAGTCTTCTCAGATCCCACATAAAGCAAGACCTGCTTGAAGACCCAACTACTTGTTCCTCTCCCCATTCCCTGGAAAGACCAAACCATGGCAAACCCGCAGCTGCCGGATGCTGGGGCCTGTTGCTCACATTCGCGATGATCTTCAGTGAGGCCACACCCCACCCAGCACCACCTCTACAGGTGCCACACAGGCAGGCAGCCTCCCTCGCCTTGCAGCCATCCCAGGGGAGGTCTGTCCATCTGGCCTGGGCCACCTCCAGCCGTTGCCACGGGGGCCTCGGCATGCCGGCTGTCCTTCCGTCAAGGGGCAGGGGCCCGTTCCCTCCTCTTCTCCTTGTCACCCCCTCCGCAGGCCTCAGCCGTCACTGTGCACCTTCCCGTGCTGCAGCAGGTTGCTGGGGTGGGTGAAGGCCTTGCCGCAGACGAGGCACTTGCAGGGCGCGTCTCCCGTGTGCACCTTCTCGTGCACAGCGAGATAGGCCAAGTCCTTGAAGTCCAGCAGCGGCAGGCGATGGGGCGGGCAGGGCTGTGCACACGCCGGTGCTGCACGAGCAGCGAGGGCCGGGCAAGGGCCTTGCCGCACGTGGGGCAGGCATAGGGCCGCTCGCCGCTGTGCGAGCGCTGGTGCACCGCCAGGTAGTTCGACTGCTTGAAGGCCTTGCCGCACGTGGCACACGGGTACGGGCGCTCGCCCGAGTGCACGCGGCGGTGCGAGGTCAGCGCGTTGGACTGCTTGAAGGCCTTGGCGCACAGCGGGCAGGCGAAGGGCCACGCCCGGGTGTGCACGCGCTCGTGCACGCTCAAGCTGTGGCTGTACGCGAGGCGTGCTGCGAGGAGTGCCGCTGCAGCTGGTAGGGCGACTTGAAGCGCTTCGGGCAGGCCGGGCAGGGGAAGGTGTGGATGCGGCGGTGTTCCTGGAGGAGGGGAGGGCGGAGCTGCCCGCCCCGCCCTTGCCCCCCCCGCCCCCCCCCGCTCTCCCTCCCTCCTGTCTCACTTTTCTCCACCTGGCCACCTCTGTTCCTGTGCCTTGGCCTTCTCAATTCAAGTCAACTCATCAGTTTTATTCAGCAAGTATTTATTAAGTGCATCCCGCGCGCCAAGCATTCTGTAAGAGCAGGGGATCTTACCACTCCAGGAGGGGGAGAGGGGCGGCTAAGAAAACACAAAAGCAGATGCGCTCCGCCCCGCTGGGCTCTTCAGAGCCATCACGGATACTGTTACCACTGGACCTTTAGGAGCCAAATACAACGTCGCGGATAAAACAGCTGAACTTGTCGTTTGGGTGTTACCACTGAAAATGGCCTGCTACGAGGGGCTCCCTAACAAATCGGGAGACTGTGTGTGTTTTTATATTGGATTTGGGAGATTTGTGAAATAAACTGTGAGGAGGGCAAAGAAACGAAAGGATAGACTTTTTTCCTTGTGAGAACTGCCTTAACATTTATGTTACGGGGGAATTTTTTTCTGTAAAGAGTCTGAGGAATTAGCACTTAGTATATTCTAGAAAGAATTTTTTGTGCTTGCTAAAGGGAGGGAAAAATGACTAATATAACGTTTCTGAAGAGACTGAATTTAACTCTTGAGGAGAAATAGGAAGAGGCTTCTTGGAAAGCTTTAATCAGTATCTGAAATGAGCTGAATGGTGGCTTCAGGTTTCCAGAAGTGAAGAGAGGTCAGTCATCTGCTTATAGTTAGGATTTGAGGCGACTCTGGCTGTGACTTTTCTCATGGTCAAAATACTATAAACAATTACTGTGGTTCTGTTTATTATTCATTTCATTTATTGATAAATTTTGTATTCAGTAATGTTAACATTTATTTAATCACACAATTGATTTGGTTTAAAAGGAAGTATGAGTAATTAGTATTTGGGAAAGTTCTTTGATTAATTAAATAAATAATATTTCATGAACTGGGATGGAAATGAAATCTAATTTGTGAGAAACATGTTGAAATTTTATTAATAAGGATAAAGAAAATATCCCAAAATACCCCTGAATTACTCTAGGGGCGGCATTCCCAATCAGGGATATGCAGAATGTATGAGAAATTTGTCAAGGGAGCATGGGGAAGATAGATAAATAACTAAATTATTCTACTGAAATATTCCAGAAACTGAATTTTATTCCAACCAGTGAAATCATAAAATCCTGGGATTATCCTTACAAATGCATAGTAAACACTAGAATATGCTTCTTTTCACACCGAACAGGGGAAAGGGAAAGGTTTACTGAAAAGCCAAATGGTACTCAACAAAATAGGTTGGGAACCCCTGCTACAGAGCTTGAGATAATATCAGGAAACATGGGAATGAGTAAAGAAGCAGGACATTGACCTACAAATAAGTGCGGTTGACCCTACTGTGCTTTATATAAATATGCAAGCATATATAAAATATTTACTTTATGTACAAGACTGCTTAATTTCAAGATGGATGAGGCGCTAACAGAGAGATCAGGAAAGACCTCATGCAGGAGGCACCAGGGTTGTGTTCTGAAGGAAGCCAGGGAGTCTCAGAGGGGGAGGTGAGGAGAAGGGAGAGCATTTCAGAGGCGTAAGACCAAGAGAAGGAAAGGGAATGTTGTGAAGAGGGAACAGGTAGCTAGAAGGTCAGTGTGCCTAAAACCAGGAGTAAAGGACAGGGAACAGTGTGAAAGAAGATTAGAAAGGTAGGTGGTCACCATATTACGGAGGGCTTTAAATGTCAGGCTGAAAAGTCTGCTTCTGACGCTAGGGGCAATAGGGAGCCACTGGGTGTTTTTGAGTGAGGGAGTAAAATGGTCACACCTGTGCTTTGGTAGCTGTTCAGAGAATGGACTAGAGTGGGTCTGAAGTCTGAAGTTGAGCAAGATGGTTGAGAGATACGGAAGAGGAAGAGTCGAAGACTTCACAGCTCATTGGCTGTGGGAAGCAAATAAAAGAGTTATCGGGAGCCCAGGTGACTTAAAGGACAGTGGGGCCCTGGACAGAAAGAGGGTAAACTCGAGGAAGGGTACGCCTCAAAGAACAAATAATGAGTTCCATCTTCAAAATGCTGAGCTCAAGACAGCCACGGATGAGCGACACCCAGGAGCAAGTCAGTAATAGCAGACTGGAGTTCGGGAGAAATATATGACAAGGGCTTGAGGGGATGTCTCGATAAAGGGAAGGTTTTCTAAAGCCGAGAGAGAACTGGGCACATCGGTAAGCAACCGATAGCTAAAGAGCATTTTAACATGGATGAAAGACAGGAGGGAAAATGATTAAAGAAGCAAACTCCTCGAGGAAAAGGGAGGGAATGGGGTCACCGGCTTCTTTTGGCCTGAAGGGCCTTGTCATCCTCTGAGACTGTAACACAGAAGTGAGTAGGGGAGGGCTGGGAAGGGGTAGAGAACAGGGGAGAAGCGGAAGGAGCTCAGTGGAGACGACAGTGGGCGTTTGTGGTCAGCACAGTCATTTGACTTTACCCAATAGTTCAGCATTAGGAACAGGGAAGACAGATGGTGGTAGTAACCCATGTCAGGGCATGGCAAGGCATGACTTTTGAGACAACGAGGGGGCAAGGGATTCAGGAAAAGAGGACAGGTATAAGTTGACCTGGTCAACCCTAGGGTCAAGTCTGTGAAAGGAGGAAAATGAGACCAGAGCAGGAATGACCTTGGACCTCGGAGGGACACAGGGAGAGAGACTGACCTCCCTCCTTCCTTCTCCAGCCTGTCTGCACCCCCCTCCCCTTCCTCTTTTCCTTCTTCCCCTTCCCAACGTCTTCTCCACATCTCCCCTTCTCCCTCCTCCTTTCCAAACCTCTGATCTTTCCTTCCCTGTTCACCGTCTTCTTTCTCAAAGTCTCCCCTTCCCCCTCCCCTCCCCAATGTCCTGTCCACCACATCTCCTTCTCCTCCTTCTATCTTCCTTCCCCCCACTTCACCATCTTCTCTTTCTCAGTGTGTCTCCTTGCCTCTCTTTCCGCAGCACCTCCTCTTTGCCTTTCTCTCTCCTCCATCTTCTCTCACTCCCTCCCAGCCCACCTGCCCCTCTTCTCCCCTGGCTTACCTGCAGGTTGCTGGCTCTCTTAAAGCCCTTGCCACAGGCCTCACAGGTGTGGGGCCGCCCCTCACTGTGGACCAGCCCATGACTCTTGAAATCAGAATGACGCTTGAAGGCGGCATCACACAGGGCACAGCGGAAGGGCTGAGCTGAGGTATGGACAACCTCATGGCTGAACAGCTCCCACGCCCGCTTGAAGTGTTTGCCACAGGCTACACACAGGAATCGCTTATCCTCCACAAGGCCCTCCCTGACCTCGAGGCCCGCCTGGGAGCCAGGCGACGCTGCCTCTGACTCTCCTTCCTCCTCGGCTGGGGCCTCCCCAGAAGCCTCAGCCACAACCTCGGCTGTGGAGGCCACTATCCTGCCTCGGATTAGACGGGCTGCAGAGTGGACCCCATCATCACTAATGAGATGGACGAGGCCCCGGATGGAACCAGCTCCCTGCTCTGGCTCCCCCGTGGCTGCTGGCTGCTCCTCCTCTTCCTCTGGGGACACTTTAGGCTCCTGGGAAAGGAAGAAATTGTGGGTTAAATGAAATCAGAAACAGGCCACCCCAAGTCCCTGGGAAAGCCAAAGACAAAAGGTTATTATGACTCTTGAGGGCACCTACACCCACCTCCCAGGTTCACACTCTAGGAGTCATCCTGGGCTCCTCACTATCTCTTACCTCCTATCCAAGCTGGTGCCAAGGCCTGAGGATATCACCTCTGCAGCACCTCTCAAAATATACCGCCTTCTCTCCTCTGGCACTGCCCCCACCATTCTCTTGCAGGCCCCATCACCTCACAGCCTGACCACTGCAATAGCTGTAGTCCCTCCCCACTCCAGTCCATCCCCCCTTCAGCCGCCAATGGGGTTTTCCTAAAGTGCAGGACTGACCATGTCACCCCCTACTCAACAAACCCCCCCATCACCTCCTGGACCAAATACGAAATGCTGTTTGGCATTTAAAGCCCCTCCCCCCTGCACCTCTCCAGTCTTCTTCTGCCTCACTCCCCAAAACGTACTGTCCTCTTCCATCCAGTGACACCGGCCTCCCGGCTGCCCCCAGAACAAGACCCTCTATCTCCTGACTCTGGGTGTTTTTTATGTCTCCCACAACTAGAATGTTCTCCCTCATCATCTCTGCCTGCTCGCTCCCCTGGCTTCCTTCAAGCCCCAGCTTCTCACCTTCTTTACCAATTTTAATTTCTGTGCTTTCATTCTATTCATTGTTTTTATTGGTCCTCTGTAGATCTTGTTTGTATGAGCTCCTTGTGGGCAGGGGCTGTTTCTGCCTTTCTTTGCATCCCCAGAACTTAGCACAGTGCCTGGCATGTAGTAGATGCTTAATAAATGCTTGTTGACCTGACCTACTAAGGGCCCCGGGAAGGTAGCAGTGGCAGCAGGGAGGGAGGCAGGTTCAGAGAAGGAAATGAGCCATCCCCAAAGGCCAAGATGCTGATGCTCATCGGACCCATAGGCTGTGAAAGAGACTTAGGCGAGATGGCTTTGGAGGGCTGCCCCTGGGCTCTGCCTTTCTCTAACTCTGTGTTTCTCTGAAGACAGAGGCAGAGGAGGAAGAAGGAAGGGGGCACGAGGACTGGGCCCCTGCTAGGGAGGCAGCTGCCAAGACAGAGCACAGGGAGCCCGGCCCTACGGCCCTCAACAGGAGCCCTCCATATTTGTCAGTCAGACCATCAGCTCCTTTGTTTTTGGTCTCAGCACAGTGACTGGCACACAGAAGGCGCTTAATCAATGTTTGTTGATTGACTGACACTGAATTTTCAGTCTGCTGGATTGTCAAGGCTCCCCATTATGTACCTGTGAAGTTGATTTTTTGAACCCAAGAAAATACCATTCTATTTATCTGTATTGGGTTTTGCTGCTTTAATATGGCCCAGTATTGTGGCTAATTAAGACCTTTCTCAGTCCTGATTAGGCAAACTACCCCACAGCATTCCTTTGAATGGCACATCAGGGTGCTTAATCAATGCTTATTCCCATCCTGTCCCTGGATCTCCTGATCCCATCACCCCGAAGCACACGATGAGATGCGGGTGGCCTCACCGGATCCTGAGGGAGCCCTGCTGCTGGCTTTGGTGGATGGGTGCTCACCAACCCTCCTTTTTTCAAACCTGCCCTGTGAGTGCATCAGCCTAGGGAGCCTGGCGGGCAGGGCTTCAGACCAGCTCCTTCACTGCCAGGGGCACTGAAGTGACTTGCCCAGGACCATCCAGATGGGACAGGACAGGACAGGACAGGGGGCTCCTCCTGACTGCAAGGCCAGCTCCCTATCCATGATGCTATACTGTCTCTCCCCTTCAATCCTATGTCAGGGATCTCCACAAGAACTGAAGTGAAACTCACTGGCTCCACCCTGCCCTTCCCCATCTCCATGACCTTTCAGAGACCGCCAGCAGTGGCTCAGGCATCTCCCCCATTTGGTCTTTCATTCGGCACCCAAGGGCAGAATTCATCTGGGCCACATCAAGCACGCTAGATTTGGCCTTTGGAGAAGACCTGGGTCCCAGCTCTGTCACTGACTATGTGTGACCTCGGACACGTCTGCTCCCTTTAGAAGGCCTCAGTTTTCTCATCTGTAAAATGAGGGAATTGCCTCAATGCCATCTAACACCCCTTCTGGCTCTAGATTTAGGGTACTCTGATCTAAAGATCTGAATACGACTTCTGGGACCCGTGACCAAGAAGAAGGAGGACAGCACCCTTTCTCTGAGCCACACAGAGGAGACAGAGTGATTCAGCTGCTTCCATGGGGTGCCAGGAACCCCAGCAAGGGAAAGCAGACTCAGTCAGCAAGCACTTTTTAGGTGCCTACTGCGTGCCAGGCACTGGGCCAAGTGCTGGGGATACGAAGGCAAAAAGAGTCCCTGTTCCCATACCTGGGGCTAGACTTCCACAGCAGGATAAGGCATTCCAAGATCTTGCGGACAGCCCCTCAACCAATCAGAAAGCGCTCCAAACTTTTCTATAAACAACCAGCTCCTCAAGAAAGAGCCCGAGAGGCGAAACTGGTTGCTACCAGTCGGGTTCAAGGACTGGGCTTCTACCAGGCAAAAGCTTTTCTCCACTGCGCTTGCTTAATAAGCTTACTGAATATGAACTGACACACCCCAAGGGTGGAGATAGCCGCCATTTTGAACATGGGACCCATGAAGTAGGTGGAGTTAACAGAACATGGGCAAATATGTGATAGGCTGTCCAGGAAGGGTGTAACTCAGATGAACTAGACCAATAGGGGCCCTGATGGGTGGAGTATAGATCTTACTAACGGTTTAAAAGTTGATTCTACCACTACACCAGTGCCCACGTGCTACTAAAGTGCATTGTGCCTGCTTCTCTCGAGAGAAGCATAATAAAGACTTTCCTTCACTCACTCACTGTAGTAGATTTTTGTTTCAGATTTTTCTAACATACCCACCCGAGAGGCAAAGATGATCAAAAAGGCAAACGGTAAATGTTGGATGGACTGTGGGAAACCAGGAACAACAACGCACTCCTGGCGGAGCTGTGAATGGGCATGGTCATTCAAGGAAATAATAGGGAATGGTACCCAGCTGTACCACTGTTAGGCCTAGGCCCACAAAAGACAAATGAGAGAGAAAAAGGTCCTACTTGTACAAAACATATTCATAATAGCTCTTTTTGAGATGGCAAAAAATTGGAAATTAAGGGGATGCTCATCAATGGGGACATGGCTGAATAAGCTGTGGTATGTGAATGTGATGGGTCACTACTATGCCATAAGAAATGAAGAAACAGGGGGTTTCAAAAGACACAAAAAGACTTGTATGAACTGATGCAGAGGAGGGCGTGAAGCCAGGACAATTTAGACTCTAAACATCAACGTTTCAAAACTGAACAATTTTGAGGACTTTTTAAACTAAAAACCAATGCAATGGGCAAGGAGAGCCAGGGAAATAATTTACACACTGACAACAATCTGGTAACAAAAAAAAAAAAAAAAAGCTGCCAGAACTCTGACCAATAATACCATGATATGCAATGACCATTCAAGATTACAGAGAAATGATGATGAAACACGCTATCCATGTCAGAGAGATGACAGATTGAGGGTGGGAATGAAACATAGATTTTTGTGTACAGCCATTGGAGGAATTTGTTTTGCTTGATTCTGCATATTTATCAAAAGAAATTTGGTTTTTTTTAATTCAATGGGATGGGAAAGTAGGAGTGAAAGAAAATATGTTTCTGTTAACTTTTTTAAAATAGGAAAGGTGGGAGTCCCAGTGCTACATATGTGAAATGTTGCATGCACTTTCAGATGAGGTCACCAGGGTTTTTAGTTTTATTACTTAACTGTTTTGCTTCATTATGAAGGATATCTCCCAAAATAGAAGTAATCTGTAAATGTATTAATGTCAAAACAAAATACATCAATAAAACTGAAAGTGACAAAAATAAAATAAACCAAGAGTAAAGATATTAAGAACAGCTAAAAAGTCCAAATAGCTATTAATAAATGTTGCTGACAAAGGAAAATGAATCAACAGGTGAGAGGCCTAGCCTCCTGAGGAATCCCTGGAGGGCTGGGAAATCAGAATTGTAAAAGCAGAATCTCTGGCCTGCACAGCAGGAAAAAAAAGGCAGCACTGGAAAACCTGACTCCTTGGTGGCTAACTACTGAGAAAAACAAAAGAGAAAAGTACTGACTGGGAATGTAAATGCAAGAAGTGAAGGACAATCTGGAAGAAGACAAGCAGAAAGCAGTAGCATGAGAAGAAAACGTGATCTCTATACATACAAGTCAAAAAACCTAAACAGCATAATGCCGCAAACAATACGAGAAAGATTTCCAGAACCTCTGAACACAGAAAACAAACAGCCAAGTGAAAGAATCCACAGTCACCTCTAGGTTAAAAAAAAAAAAAACAAACAAACCCTACACTGCAAACTCTAAGACAAACAGTGGTTAAATTGAATAATTCCAATGCCAAACAACAAGTTTTGCAATTGACCAGGGGAAAAGACCTTCAAATATAGAAGAAAGAAAATTCAAGTAACAAAACTATTCTGCATGCACCAGAAACTGCAAGAGGGAATGGAATATGATGTGTCAGAAGAGCAAAGGCACTCCAGATGCAGCTCAAGGTAACGAACCCTCCAAACTTGAACCTAACCATTCGTCAGAAAGGTAGATACTCAGTAAAAAGGAACATCTGATGCATTCCAAAGAAGAAAACCAGACCTGAACAAATTGTCTGCTCGACAACAGAAATAAAAGAAAAGTAAACAAATATAGCAAGGTACAAGGAAGGCACAGATAATGAAATAAATTACCCTGGGGTTAAAAGAAGAGAAAATACACAAAAAGAGAAATATATTTGTGAAGTTAATGAAAACAACAACAACAAAATAACATCAGAGAGCCCACTGAGAAATTTCCTCCTAAATATTACACAGGGAGACAAGGATGAAAGCAGGAGTCAAATAGAAGTGATGGTGGAGAAAGAGACCCAAAACTTCATGGGCAAAGCCTCCCAATACTCTGTCTACAAGTGAATCAGTGATTTTTGTGGGACTAAATTACAGAATGGGAGGAAGCATAAAAGGAAAGAGGTGAAAAAGAGAGAGGAGAATGCGATATACTCTAATCAAGTCAAAGGCTAACAATGAAGGGAAAAAACTTCTGTAGTTTCTCAGAAAAAAAGAAAGTCTATCAGAGAATAGGCAAGGAGGCAAAGGGATTGAAACGGGGGAAAGGAAGGCAGGAACCTTGAAACAATGGTGGGAAGGGATCCCACTGAAGAAGCCTACCATGGGGGAAGAGACATGGAGATGGGGACCTTACAATGGGTATAATCTGTGGGGCTTAGAGACTCCACTCATCCTGCCTCAGAAGGAGAGAAATCAGAGCTCCTGGGAACAGCTGGCATGCAGAAGAGTGGGAGGGCCTGGACTCAGGGAGGAGATTTCATGGAAAAAGGCAAAAAAAAAAATTACCATGGAGAAAAAAATGGTATAGGAAGGACAAAGATTAATGTTGAACTGCACAATTGGAGACAAAGAAAAATTCCTAGCACAGAGCAGTATCTTCTCTATGAACTACAGTAACTGGTATATCTAAAATAGAGGCACAACACATAAATGGGGATTGGGGGTAAGACCGCCAAGACAATCTCACAGAAACTGTTTAGAAGAGGGAACTCAAACGAGGTGCCTTGGTAGGTTTAATTTCCATGAGAAAGACAGAAACTAAAAAAGGACTAAATGAGTGTTAGGACCGTTAATCAAAGGATGAAAGACTAGAAGCCACAGAAAGGGAAGGGAAATAATAAAGAGAACAGAGAGAAGAAATCCTTCTTAGAAAAACAGGCAGAACATGAAATTTTAAAACCTAAAAGAAAATTAGTTGAAGGGGAGGAAAGGGAGAAAGATTTTACCTAACAGAGAAAAAAGAGGGAAAGATGAAAAGAAACTAATTATGTTTAAGCAAAACTAGGGAAGGGGATAACAAACAGGAGTGGGGCAAGGGCTTGAGGGTTTGAGGAAGAGAGCCAGTGAGAACAGGGTTGCCTTAAAATAGATTAAGCTAAAATAATTGAAGGAGGAAAAAGTAGTCTTTACAGAGGAAATGAGGGAAAATCCTAATTCAGAAAAAAAAAACAATATTAGAGACAAATGGAGGAAGATATAAACCTAATTCTGATAACTTTAAATATAAATGGATTAAATAATCCAATAAATAATCCAATAAAACAAGAGTGATAATTAGATAAGAAAACAAAACCCACAATGTGCTGCTTGTAAGAAACAACTGAAAAATTAAATTTGTAATAGACAATAAAGACAGAATAAAATCGAGAGACTGGAACAAAATTTGCTCCGCCTCAGATGAATACAAAAAAGCAGGACTCGTAATCAAGCTGCTGCACCAGCCTAGCACTGGGTTCATTCATGGCAATGGGGAGCTCTCTCACTCGAGCTCCTCGCAAGGCCAGGTGGGCTTTTCCGATCTTTCTTCTCCAAGGCCAAGAGCGCTCTCCTTGGGAGAGAAAGCAGAAACAGAGCCAGTAACGAGAAGCGACTGGCTGACATCCTCCATCCGCTCCGCAGCTGCTGTCCACTCTTCTTTGGATTCTCCTTTCTCCCAGCAGACAGAAAAGCAGGCACACAAAACTGTCCCCCCTCCTGATCCTCCCCCTAGAATCCACTGCTCCTCTGTCCTGCCAGCGGTCGTTCCTTACCAACAGAGCAGAAGAGAATCGCGACTTGTCGCGGTGGGGGATAGGAATGCCTTGCGCTCCCCGCTGCCACCTACAACCTTGCCCTTGTCACTCCGTAGCTTCTGCCCCTGAGGTTCATTCAGTCCCTATTTTTACCAAGTCAAGATTAAGGCGGCTGCTATCTGGCAGCCCCAGGCCCTTCTCCTTTCCTCCTCGGTGAGTTGTGTCTGGCTCTGGGTCTCCTTCCCTACAGGAGACTGAATTCAGCCTGCATACTGATAACCTGCCAGTTCCTCAACTTCATTTCCCAAGACTGCTCCACCTCACCTCAGCCACACCCAAGTGCTCATGAACTCTGAAGTCCCTTTCTGTGATCATAATGTTTTATAATTCCATCGTTACCTCTGCTTTACGACTCCTAATCCCGTTCTCTGTCCTCACCTTGACCTCGATCCCTCCACCCCTCGGTTCTTTCCAGACCATCACCACCGAAATAGCTGCACCGCCTCCCTTCTCCATCTTGACCCCTTGGGGAATCACGTCAACTCTTCACTGGCCTCATGGCTCCAGTCCGTTGTTCCCTTAACTTATTGCTAATCTTGCCCTGACAAACCTCAATCTTGCGTCACTGCCCTCACCCCTATTCAGATGCTGCTGAACAAAGCTGGAGAAAATCACACAGCCATCCTGACTGGCTTCCCTGCAAGTTCATGTCACATAATCTCAACAGGGCCCTCGTGGCACAAGGCAAGCCTTTGGCAGATCTCTAAGCCAAAGGCTGGCAAACTCTGGCCAGTGGCCTGTCTCCCAGTTCTTGTCCATTTCCCAAGTGAAGAATGATTTTTTTATATTTTTAAACAGAATTTTATTATTTTTTATTGCAATTGACTATTATATCAGGGACTATACAATAACAGGCGATGGCTGGATTTCCTCTGCAGAAGTCTGCCAACCTCTGTTATAATCTGTTCACTATCCCACCCACCACAATAGTTGTCCCAAGCCTTTTCCATCCTCCTCAAACCTCCCAAGGCTCCCCTCTCCCCACCCGCTCAGCTGAGAGCCTCACCTCCAATTTCACTGAAAAACTTTAGGCCATTCACCAAGAGCTGATCTTCTCCCCTCCTCCTCATTTCACATGGTTCGGGTGCCTTCCCCCACATCCTTTTCTGCCAGTCTCATGATGAAGCGGCCCTTCTAGCCAAGGTGAATGCCTAAACAGGCCTAAACAAAGTGGTCCACTCCATGCCCCCTCCTTTGGAGGACTGGCCCCTCTCCCCATTGGTTCACTTACCATCAATCTTTCCCTCTCCACTGGCGGCTTCCTCACTGCCTGCAAACATATCTGTCTCTCCTCCATCCTCAGAAAACCCTCCCTCACCCCATCCATCCCTGCTAGCTGCCATTGCACATGTCTTCCCCCTTTCTTGGCTACACTCTGAGAAAGCCACCTGAAATTGGCATCTTCTCCTCCCCCACCCCTCCATCCTTCTCTTTCCTCCCTCTCCCTCTCTCCTCTCTCCAATCTGTCTCCTCTCTCTCTATTTCTCTCTCTCCGTCTCTCTCTCTCTCCTCTCTCTCTTTACCTCATACATCTTGACCCTTTGACACCATTAATTGCCGTCTTCTCTTGAGATTTGATGACCCTACTCTCTCCTGCCTGTCTGACCACTCCTCCTCAGTCCTCTTAGCCAACTTGTCCTCTAGGCCAGGTCCACTAACTGTGGGAGGCCCCAAGTCCCAAGCCCTCTTCTCTCCTCCCTCAATCCTCTTTTGCTTGTGATCTTATCAGCTCCCATGGGTTCAATTATGATCTCTATGTCGACGACTCTCAGACCTCCAGGCCTGACCTCTCTACTAACCTCCAGTCTCACATCTCCAGCTGTCTACTGGGCATCTTGCAATGGATGGCCCACAAACATATTGAACTCATCGTGTCCAAAACTGATCTCACGATCTTTCCTCCCAAAGCCTCCTGTCTTCCTGACGTCCCTGTGACCATCAATGGTACTATCATCCTTCAGGCACTCAGCCTCAGAAGCCAGGTGCCACCCCTGCCCCTCCTAGCCCAGTCCCTCCTCTCCTCTGACTCTGCCACTGCCCTGGTGCCACCTTGACCCCAACAGCCTTCTCCTGGTCTCCCAGCACTCAATCTCCCCTCTGACCCATCCTCCCTCAGCCGCCAGGATGATTCCACCAGTGCTCACATCTGACCAAGCCACTGTCCTGCTCAAGGTCTCCCACAGCTTCCCGATGCTTCTCAGATCAATACAAAATCCCTGGGTCACCCTTCAGAGCTCCTTATACCCTGGCCCCTTCCTGCCTTTTCAGCCTCATGCTCTGCTGCCCTTCACAAATCCTGTTCCAGACCACGGACTCTTCCTCTGTACTGGAGTCATTCTCCTGCCTCCGGACCTTTGCTTGGCTCTGTCCCCCATGCCTGGGATGCTTTCTCAGCTCACTCCCCACTTCCTCACAGAAAGCTGCTCCTGCCTCTTCCCATTGGCTAGTGCCAACGCCCCAAATTTCATGGCTTTGCTGATCTGGTTACAGCTTGACTTCCCAGCTAAGCAGCACTACAGCCCTCAGTCAGGAAGACCTGATTTCTAATCTGGCCTCACTTAACTAGCTCCATGAATCTGGGAAAGTTTCTTCATCTGCAAAATGGGGATGATAAAAGCTCTTATCTCCCACAGTTGTTGTGAGGATCAATGAGATAATTGTAAAGTGCTTAGCACAGTGCCTGGCACACAGCAGGCGCCACATAAATGTCAGCGATGATGATGATGATGATGATGATATAAATGCTCCTTGAGGGCAAGACAATTTTTCCACTTGTCTTTGTGCCCACCACATCTTACACACAGTAGGTACTTCATTAATGCTTGCTGGACTAGACTGGATTCCCAGAAGCCAAGTTCTGAGTTCCAATCCTGGCCCCACTTTCCACTACCTATGTGACCCTGGGAAAGTCCCCCTCCTCTCCAGGCTTCACCTTTCCCAAGACTCTGTCCCACCGCAGGACCTGTAAATGCGAATGTGTCCCCCCCCCAGACCTAGCCAAGGCCAGGATGGGAATTAATAGCAAAGCTACCTCTCACCTACCATGGACTTCAGGGCCTCCAGGGCCCCAGAGCCCTTCTGACCAGCAGTGGTGTCCAGGGGACCTGTTTCCCTCATGGGGTGATGCCTCCGAGGAGACGACCGGCAGGGTGGTAGGGCCTCCAGGGCCCCAGAACCCTTCTTCTGGCCAGGAATAGTGTCCAGGGGACCTGCTTCCCTCACATGGTGGGGCCTCTGAGGAGACAACCGGCAGGGTGGTAGGGCACTCACACCTTCCCTGAGCTGTCTGCACTGGTCTGTGGAGTCGTACTCCATGTCTGCCAGAGAGACAAGACGTCTGAATCCTAGAGGGGTCTAGAAGCATGTAAAGGCAGGCAGAATGAAGCCCAGAAGGCCGCCTGGAGAAAGGGGTCAGGAAAAAGAGGGTTTGGCCAGGAAAGGGCCTGAAGCCCTCACCAGGGATGGCTCAGGCCTGTGAAGACGGGAATGAGGAGTCTGGGGAGCGAGGGGAGAAAAGAAGCACCTCAGAGAAGACACAGAAGGATGAGCACTTGGAATCCCTGGGGCACGACCTGGGGAAGGCAGGTTTCAGCCACTTTCTGGGCCTCAGCTTCTCCTCTTCTGTAGCCTGAAGTGAGCAGGACTCAAGGACTTCTGCCCCAGAAATCCTCGATGTGCACCATGGAGGGTTCGTGCTCCCTCTCACAATGACCCTCATACGATGGCTCCCTTCATTCCACGCAGTCCCCAGTCCTCCATCCATCTCAGTGTGGTCTCTCCAGCAGCTGGGCCTTGCCTCAGCTCTTCCCTTCATATGGATCTCTCAGTCATCACTTTGATTCCCCTTCCAAATAGCCCACCCGCAAAAAAAGCTGCCCCTCACTTCTCTGAAAATACATGCCCCTGACCACCCCCAGACCCACCCAAGTCCCGTGGCCTCCAGAATCCTAGTGTCGTCTTTTCCTTCAGACCTCCTCCCCCAGCTCCCCCCCACACAAAGGTCTGACCCCAATCCTAACTGGGTGGAGGCAACGGGAGTGGAACCTTCCACAGTGTGGAAGGCTTGCAAAGCACTTTCCAGACAATGTTGCATCCCAGAAAAGGTGGTCATTAGGCTATTATTACCCCCATTTTCCTTATGAGGAAACTGAGGCTCGAAAGGAACAGCAAAATACCCTGGTCATGCAGCTAAGAAGTGTCGGTACAGATTCCAGGTCCAGAGATCTCTGCACATCGTTCTTTTTCTCTGACTTGGGACCCTACCCTGTGGAGGTCTCTGACCAGAGGCTGGATGGCCACTTGCAGGGGAGCTGGGCCCCTCTGCCCCTTCCAGCTCTAAATCGATGACTGAGTGAGCCAGGATGGAGAAGGGTTCTAGGTTAGGGAAGGGTAGGGGAGCTCTGATCCTGACCCGCCCCAATGCCCATAAAGCTCCCCACCACTACTACTGGTCCGTTCCTCTGGGGCCTCTTATTCATGGAAGCCCATCAAGTTTCCCTTGGATGGCCAAGCAACAATGACAAGCGTGGGCCAACCAGCTGTAGGATCTGGGGCCCCATCAAGGGAGGTATGACCTGAACAGGGCCTCCCTCCACAAGGCCTGTCCTGAGCCACTCTGCCCCTGTGCCTGGCCACCCCCTCTCCCACCCCAGCCTCAACTGAAGACCCCGGGAGACCTGGGACTTCTCCAGCTGTCCTCGGAGCTCAGGACGCAGATGGAGGAGCCACCCAAAGGCCAGGGCAGAGCACACGCCTCTGGACAGGGAAGTGCCAGGTTTACTCAGGGCACTGAGTCCTTTGGACATGTCCCCTCACTCTTCCATGCCCGTTTCCTCCCCTCTGAAGCCCCTTCGAGCTCTCATCGATAAGCCCGGCCCAGCTCCAGCCTCCTCTGTAGAGGCCCAGCCCACGTCCCCATCCACAGCAGAATCTCCCAACAAAGATGAGCTCCTTTAGGGCCGGGTCTTCTTTCACCTTTGGCCCTGAGGCCAGGCCTGGCAGGCAGCAGGCGCCTGATAGCGTGGTGCTTGGGAGGCCAACCCCTGCTCCTTCCGATGCTACCATCTCTCTTGCCAAGGTCCTCAGTTGGGCCATCTCTGGCCTCCACCCATGCCCTGCTTATTCTTCCTTATTCCCCCTCAGACTACCCGGCCCCTCACCCAGATCTTAGAACCTCCCAGCAGCAAGCCCTGAGTCTGACCCAGACTAGAACAAGAATCTCCCACCACTGGTGGCCTGCCAGGCAGGCACCAGCAGGGTAGGCCAGACTACTCTTGGATAGCTCCGCGGTCCGATCAGTCCACCTCAGTCTACACCTGCCCACCCCCAATGCTGCTGGAGCCACCCTCCTGGCCCAAACAGTCTAGTCTAGCCCCTGTCCCAGGTGACAGCCCTTCCGCAGCTCTCAGGGTCCCCCAGTGCCCTCCACGAAGCCCCATGACATAAAGCCCAGCCCTCCCCAGCAGCTTTGCCTGAGTCTCGACAGTGCTCTGGGCTGGACTCCACCAGCTGGAACCCACCCCTCTCCCATGTGTGCATGACTGGGACAGCCTCCAAAGCAGCAAGAGGGACCCCTGGGGGAAGACTCCTCCCAGCCTGGTGTCCCCCAGGCACCTTCAGTGACTACATTTCATCACAATCAGTCAGCAGTGGAACAAGACCTGTGTGGGATGTGGCCCCAGAGGACTGATGTCACCTGCATCTGTCACGCAGGGCTCCCCACGCAGGAGTAGGTCCTGCAGGTGTCATGAGCCCCACTCAACAGATGAGGAAGCTGAGGCCAGGGGAGTGTCACAGCAGGGTAGGTTGGAACCCAGGCCCCTCAGGGGAGCTCAGCCTCAGGCACCTAGGCTGTACAATGGGGCCCCCACCCCCGCAGAGGGCGGATCCGGGTCCCTTCTTGGTAGCACAAGAAAAGCACTGTGTGCACTGCAGCTAGGGGGCACCCCGGGGCACAGAGTGCTGCCCCCCACCCAGTTCAAATTAGGCCTCTGACACTTGTCAGACTCCTGATTCAGGGAAAGGCATCGGAGCCTCGGTTTCTTCATCCTAAAAATGGGGATGATAATGGGACGCCTGCAGACGTTGGCTGTTGATACGATGGATGGACAGAGGGACCGTGACAGATCAGGACCCTGGCTTGTCTTTGCTTCTGCCTTTGAGGGCCGCAGGACCAGGGATGGGGACCTCCAACAACAGGGAGAACAAGGCAGAGAACGCCACCGGGAAGTCTGCTTCCGCCTTCCTTCCTTCAATAGACACTGATTGAGCACCTACTGTGTGCCAGGCCCTAGGCACAACATGGCTGCTTGGGTTTCCTTCCCACAGCCTCGCACACAGTGGGGGTTTAATCAATGCTTGTCGATGTGACTGGAGGAGAAGGTGGACCTGGGGGAACTGTGGAAAGGCAGAGGCCCTGGGTTCAAATCCATCCCTGCTATTTCATGCCATTAGATTGCAAGCTCCTAAAGGCAGAGGCTGTTCTCTGCCTCTTTTTGTATCCTGAGCACCTAGCACACAGTAGGCACTTAATCTGTGTTTACTGAATCACTGCCTGCGTGGTCTCCCCTACTTTATAATGTAAGGGAGACTGGTCACCCCCACCCCACACCCGGCTCTAGAGCCATGATCCCAGGAGACCTAGGTTGGAATCCTGTCCCTGATGCTAAACAGATGTGAGATCTGGGGCAAGTTATTTCATCTCCCTGGGCTTCAGTTTCCTCATCTGTACAATGGGTCACAGTAAAGAGGACTCCTAACCCGTCTTGCAAACTTTAAAACACCCCTTCCTTCCAGCTCCCCCTCTGAGTCTCAGTTAACTCATGGGTAAAAAGGGGTGCGCCCTCCCCCTACACCCACAATGGTCTCTCCCAAACCCCCCCCAGGCCCGCAATGATCCCCGCCCACCGATTTCCATATATGGAAATATCCCACCCAGCGATCCTTGCACATCAAGACCTGCCATAGGCGGGGGGGAGGGGGGGCGCACTTAGGCAGCATTTCACAGACGGGGATTGGGGAGAAGGAGGGGGAGATCCTGCGCCCCACCACGTACCCAGAAGCTCTGCTTTCACTTCCCCACCCCGTTTACACAATGGTTGCTCCCCCCTCACCCACCCAGACCGGTCCCTTTCCCTTCCCTCCCCCCAGCCAATGGGCGCGCCCACCCCGTCCTGCTCATTCATTGGTTCGGTTCCACACTCCGCGCCCCACCCCCGCGACTCCGGGACAATGGTCTTTCCCCAGTACAGGCGCACGCGCCCCTCCCCCTGCAGAGAAGATGGTCTCGCCCACTCCAGGCAGTGGCCTCGGCCCAGAGAAAATCCTCCCATCCGTGTGAGGGTTGGCGCCTACTGAGAAAGGCTGAGGCTCCGAGCGAGGGACTCACCGGAGCCACGGCAGCCAGCTCGCTCCTCACCCCCCTTTTCTGCCCTTCCCATCCGTCTGGCGGCCCCCTCAAACCCTTGCGACCCCCCTTTTCCAGCCAGCCCACACTTCCGCTTTCCCCGGCTCGCCCCAACAGCACCACGTGACTGGAACTGTGGCGCGACGGCGGGATCGCAACGCGCATGCGAGCAGTGGCTCTGGGCGGGCGGGGGACTGAGAACGTGGAGCTGGGCCAGTGCGCAGGCGCATCCGCATCCCCTTTGGTGCACCTGGGTCGGATGGGTTCACATTCACTGGTTAATGGACCGCAAGGCCAGTGACGCGTAGGCATTCTCGAGGGCAACCCAGTCCAGTTATATCGATGGGGAAATTGAGGCCCAGGCGAGGAAGGGATTTCGGAATAAGAGAATGCAGAATCAGAAAGAGCCTTGAGATCATCGAGATCTCCTTACCCCCCCATTACAAATGGGGAAACTGAGGCTCGAGATGGCACTATTCAAATGATTGGAGGACCTCAGATCTAGAATCTCAAAGAATATAGATATAGACATAGATACATATACATGTATGGCAGTATGTCCATATGCATACATATATGCACATATGCGTGTGTATACATGATAGGAATGAAAGAGAAATGGCACTTTCAGATCTCAAGTGACATTGAAAATCAATCACCATCAGACTCCTCGGGGCCATTAATAAAGCAGATGAGTAGACTAGACTAGATAAGCAAGAATGAGAAACCATCAAATCTAATTAATTTAAAAGCATTCATTAAGTACTACTGCACTGAGCACTGGGGATACAAATACAAAATCTGACTGTCCCTTCTGTCAAGAAGAGAATTCTAGAATCTGGTAGGGAGAATGATGACAGGTAAACTAAGAACTTGAACTAGTAGCAGGAATTCTTAACCTGGGGTCTTT